AAGACAAACCTCAACCCACATGCAGAGAAAGAAAAAGAAAAACAAAAGAGTAGATCCCCAGAACCAAAACAAGTGAACAGAGTGACACAAAAACCTAACTGACAGACGTGATTCGTGACACCTTGAGGCTCAATATGATTTATCTGTGTAAATAAAGGTTGAATGAAACAAACAACAACAAAAAAACTAACGGCTCTGGCCGCGATGGATGGATGGATGGATGGATGGATGGATGGATGGATGGATGGATGGATGGATGGATGGATGGATGGATGGCACCATGCCACCCAGGAAAAATGAACCTGTTTTGACCATTAAATAAATGCATAATAAATGTGACTTATGTTTTTTCCTCTTCATGATGCTTTTTTTCACTGATGCGATTTATACTCCGGGAAATACGGTAAATGATTTTTATGATATGTTCCATTTTAAAATATACTTATATATTTCATTGGCCCTCTTAGTCAGCCAGAGTTTAGAATATCTGAATCCTCCTTCATTCTGTTTATAGTTCTTTGCACTTGTGGCTGTGGCTTAGGTGGTGGAGAAGTCTATCCACTAATTGCAAGATTTCACCGCCTGCCTCTCCACATTTATTTCAAAATTCCTCCCAGTGGTCTGACAACTTCGTCACCAGTGATTTGTCTAAGTAAGCGATTGGAGCAGAGCACTTTGGAACTGCTGAAGTGATAAAAGCTATTTAATAAACAGTTTATTTAACCTGTGGGACCTGCAAGGACCACTTTTCAAGATATCTCTCCTCTGCTGTCGATTATTTCTACGCCTTGAGTTTGGCTCGGTGTTTGTACTTTACCATCATTATGACGAGAGCACTGACATAGCTGTGTTTCTGCAACAGTCGTCCAAAGATGACCAGACCACTCGGGCCTGAGGGCGAAGGTGTGGTTTCTGTCAGGCTCTTTGAGACTTCCTCATTCTCGTCATCCGTTTTCCCGTCGATTTCTGACTCGGACCCCAAAGGAGACAAAACAAAAACGTAAGGTTTTAGAATCTAAACAAAATTAAAATGAAATTACTCTGAGATAAAACACATTTCACCAACCAAAACAACTTGATGCATTTAAATTTGTCGCATGTAGTTTTGCTGGGATATCAGGACGCTGCACAATATGTGTACTTGCTGAGGCAACATGTCAGTGAGCTGTGGTTACCGTGTGAAGGTGGGGCTCGGTCTTCTTTATGTGATGGAGCGTAACAGTTTGTGTAACCTGCCCCTTCAAGCAGACACCCAACACTGCTGCTGTGGACGTTTTGCCAGGAACTTCCACTTATCAGAATCATTGGCTGAAGGAAGAGAGAACATTTCACTGCAAGATAATCACTTGGGAGGAATAAAACCCTGCAACGTCTACAGACTTATTTTAAATAACTGCTGTTGAATACGTAATTTTGCTAAAAACTATACCTCATCTGGCAGATAGGTCTCGTCATCTGTGCTGCTTAAAAGCTGAAAAAAGATCAGTTGTGAGCTGATTTAAAACAATTATACAAAACAGCATGGAACAGAAATAAACGAGCAACTAATGAGAGACATTAATGCAGAATACTTGATTTCTGGGTAGACCAGCGTTAAGATCATAAAACGTTTAACAAACTATAGACGAGATGGTTGTCTTTGCAGGTCACCTCTTGTTTGTCTCCTGAGATGTAGATGACCCTGGAGAAGCTTGGTGGAGCTTCTGGACTTTCTAACGGGCTCTCAGACTCATCAACGACAGCAACATCCTGAGAAGAACAACAACTCTTAAAAGTTTGTTGAGTTCATTAACACAACTGATCATGGCACAAGAGCCTTTTCAGGAGGAGCAGATCTACAGCAATGATGGTCTAACACGGCCTGGCAGCCCTAAAACAGAGAAACTAGAGTCTGAAAATGAGGATATATTTCATAACAGAAAGCATTTAAATTAATCGAATGAGTAATCTTTTTTAATTATTTCATATGGATAATGCTTGTTCTAAAAGTTGGGAGCAGCGTTGTTGTATTTCGGCTGCTCTTTTCTGCAGGGGTCGCCACAGCGAGCAAACTCTTTCGGAAGTTGTTTTACAACAAATGTGCTTCCTGACGCAGCCTGGACTCAAACCTGCAGCCTCAGGACTGCAAGACTGCGGCGCTGACTGCCAAGTTACCGCAGCCCCTACACAGCAACACTCGTAAGAATTGATTTCTCACCCATGCATGCAGAATAAATCACAAAGCAGGAGCATATTTAGCACCTGAGCATATTTCTTTCTCTGAACATTTATTTTTTTTCTTTCCCAGTTCTACAAACCTCCTCCATGACGTGGACCCATCTGTGCAGCAGAGTCACCAGTGTGTAGTAGAGCAGCAGAAGAACCAAAGGGTTGATGAAGTCCGGCCAGCACACATGCGGGTGCAGGCCCAGACGGTGTGGGTGTGAAGAGCTGGTTCTGATTACCCCTGTCATGCCGAACAACCTGTGAAAGAGTGCAGGATGATGGTGGAGCAATGATGGGGCAAACAGAGAAATGAAAAAAACGAACTGGTGTGAACCTTTAGAAAAGTAAACGAATGTGCAAAAATAAAAAAAGACTATTTCTATCAAGCAAAAGTTGTGGACATACAGTATTTAATGTATGTTTCCTTTCTCAGGAGAAATATGTGATTATTTTACTGCTCCACTTGTTTGACTTCGTAATAAAAAGGTGAATCAACCAGAAGTGCTTTAAATAAGAAACATCCAGAATAAACACTGTTTTAGTAAAAATTCAGTTTTAAATCCTAAGATCTTTTTCATTTCAAATATTAGCCGCAATGCATCCTCATGAACAATCCATGACATATTAAATCATATTGTTGTTTAAGTAAAATATAATTTGCAAACACAGGAAGTGAAAAACTAACTTGTGATTGAACAGATAATTTAATAATCTATAACAGTTATTATGAAGGAGAAGTTTTCAGTCACTCGTGAAGGACTTTTGATTTTTTTTTTTTTTTAGTTCAGGGGTCTGCAACCTGCTGCTCTGGGGCCTTTTTCAAATTTTGACTGGCTCTAACAAAAAACTGAATTTTTCTGGTTTGTATACAAACAATAAAAAGGGCTAGCTTTAGCAGTGTTTCTGATTTGTTTGTTTTTATTGTTGTTGTGTTTTTTTTTGTTGCAAATACGTGAATGATATTATAAATGCAAGGAGTAAAACATGTCGACTGCATCATGCTTGTTGTTTGTTAGCCGCTTCTTTTAGCTGATTCTGTACGGTGTGATCGTTCTCTCAGATACAAAATATGTTTGGAATAGCTTTAAGACAAGTTGCTGAGAAATGTAGTGATTACCGTATTTTTGGGACTATAAGGCGCACTTAAAAATCCTTCAATTTTTCTCAAAAATCGACAGTGAGCCTTATAATCCTTATGTATTAATTCTGGTTGTGCTCACTGACCTTGAACTGATTTTATGGATATTGTGAATGAGTTGAATAAAGTTTGACTTGTCTAACTGTTTTGTTTCACTTATTGTGCCTTATGTATGAAAACAGACCTGTTCACTGATATTGCGCCTTATAATCTGGTGCGTTTTATAATCTGGTACGCCTTATAGTCCGAAAAATATGGTAAACTGAATAACAATACGAATTAAAAAGTCAACGTAAATGGCTATATTTATTTATTTTTAGATTCAATTAAATATCGAACAAACTGGCCTATTTTTTAATACTCTAACTTTATTACTAGAAAGAAGAATGTGTCTATATTTTTTGTACAGTTAAAAAGAAAGCTCAGGATTTAAGGATTTAGTGTTTTCATTTTTATAAAATTGGCAAAAATTACATTGTTTTCATTCTCTACATAAATCTGTTGTGGGTTTTTTTGGGTTTTTTTTTTTTTTTTTTGTCATGAAGTGTAAAAATATAAGTAAATGTTCATTCAGTCTTTCTTTAGACAGGTTAATCCCATTGAGCCTCGGGGACTCATTTACAAGAGAGACCTGATTTTAACAAAGAAAGATGACAACAATGAATAACAACAACAACAACAATAGACAGTAATAAAATGGGCATAGGTATACAAATTAAAGTTTCTCTTTTTTTTTTTTTTTTTCAAATCAAAACAATCAAAAGAAAACAGCAACCAAAAGGACAATCAAGAAGAATAATAGCAAAAAACAGCTAGTTTATAAGGCGATTTAGAAAACTAAAAACAGGAACATGTCTGCATTGGTTTTTGCCAGGAACTTAGATGTTTAAAGTCACTTAGAGAGGTCAAAGTTGAGAGTTTCAGATCTTTTTGCAAGATATTCCAGGTCTTGCTTGTCAATGTTAACAATCATTAGATATTTTTAGTTATGTAATGACCAGAAAAGCACATTTCAACAAACAGTGATTCCATGGGCCCCCAGCTGATGATCAGTTTTAGCAGATTTTGGGCTCAGGACACATTTTATTTAGCAAAGTTGCAAAAATGGCTCTTTTGATCATAAAGGATGCAGATCCCTGTATTGTTTTTTGCAGATAAGTTGCATTTAGTTTAAATTTGGCCTTATATCTACACTAAATTCAAAATATTTCTACTTTGATTATATCCATTCAACAAGCATTGTTTCTGGGTTTGCTTGTTTGTCTATTTTTTAATGTTCTGAGTGAAATCTCTTAATGTTGTGTTGCAGGACGTTCTCCTGGCAGCGCGTTCAGACAAATTAGAGTTCAATCTTTTTATATTTGTAATGTCATGAATTTTAACTCTAAATTTTCTAAGGTCTGTATGTCGTCTGTGCGTTTCAGTTACTTACCGTATTCTTCGGACTATAAGGCGCACCAGATTATAAGGCACAATATCAATGAACGGGTCTGTTTTCATACGCAAGGCACACCGGATCATAAGGTGCATTAATTGAAACAAAACAGTCAGATAAGTTCAACTTTATTCAACTCATTCGCAATAACCATAAAATCAGTTCAAGGTCAGTAAGCACAACCAGAATTAATACATAAGGCACACCTGATTATAAGGCTCACTGTTGATTTTTGAGAAAATTAAAGGATTTTAAATGTGCCTTATAGTCTGAGAAATATGATATTTAGATTCAGCAGTTCCTTGAGGTTGTTTTTAGATTTGTTCCCTTCAGGTTTGATGTTTTATGATCTTTGCGTCTGAGTTGTGGTACTCGTCTCCTGTACCTGGCGTAGATGTCATCTGGTGGTATGAGCTGCTGGGACAGAGGCAGCTGATACACATACAGAGCCAGCAGATGTCCTGCGCTGAAGATGGCCATCATCACACACAAGGAGCTGAAAACCAGCATGCTGATGGAGCGGCTGAATATCCACCACCACACCAGACTAAGAAACACGCCAAAATACACTCCGGAGGTGAGAGAGGGCAGTGTGATACCTGCAGACGCACATCATAAGAAGAAGAAAGAACAAAGATAGACTCTGTTATCATTTTAAAGCACTCCTGTGCTCATTCATCTGCTGTGGACTCTACCTGCCAGCCCCAGCAGAAGGGTCACCACCACCTTCCCCGCTGTGTTCATGATTGCCAACAGCAGCAGCCTCAGTCCGGCTGCAAACATGATCAGTTTCTGGACAAACTGTGGTGGGCTCGACTGAACCGGGACTGTAGTCTCCTCTGAGCTGTCAAAAGACGAGCCCTCTGGGACACTTCCGTCCTCTGATTCTGAATCGGACGTTTCTACATCCTGCAAGAGCCGACACCCAGTGTTTGTAACACCTTGTGCATTTAAAGGTGTTTTGGTGCAGTTGTGTGAGCTGTTACCTCGGGGATGGAGGGTGGGATTCCATTTTCATGGAGGCTGACTTGAGGCACGGGGCGCAGACGTTTTTTGCACAGCCTCAGTATGAACAAAACGGAAAAGGAAAGGCCAACGTCTGGGGCCAAGAGACGCACAATGTTTCCAGCATCAACCGAGCTGAACCTGAAAAAAGACGTTCATCATCAACAGTGTGATGGTGACAGCGTGATTGTGGAACAAGACAACAAAAAGAAGAAGAATCTGGTTTGTGACAAACATTAATCGCATGTTCAAGCCTTAAAAAGTTATATTTCATTCTAAACGCTACTCTTTTCATCCTCTTTGAGCCTCACTTTGTTGTCATTTGTATTATTATACGTTAAAGTCTTTGTAGACTACTTTTCTCTAGATTTACAAGCGAAAAACAACACAAGACATACAAAACCCTTTAAGCAATAAGAACAATTAACTAGCTGAAACTGTCTTTACTATTCTTCCTGATATCTGAGTCGAACTTGATGCCAGATAAACACTGACGCTCTATAAGCAGAAGATTTAGACGTAAAACTCGATGATTCGATTCAGTTTATTTATATAGCACCAAGTCACAGCAGAAGTCACCTCAGGACACTGAACAGAAACATTCATAGACGGTACATAAAAAGTCAGCTGATAACGTTATTTATCTAAGGAGCCAGCGTGCAGACTGTTTTGAGTCTTCACGTCATCACAGTCTCCCATCCTGAGCAAGCACAATGGCAACAGTGGAAAGGAAAAACTCCCTTTTAACAGGAAGAAACCTCCAGCAGAACCAGGCTCAGGACGAGCGGCCATCAGCTTCGACAGAGATGCAGACATTTTTATTTCTGCTTTAGAACATAATCACACAGATCTCACTTCTTAGATAGTTATGCACAATTTTAGTTGAGTTGAAAGAAAATTTAAATTAGTATACCTCTATTTTGTGGAAAAATGAATTAGGAAATTTTGACTAATTTATTAGATTTACTGCGTTGTTCAATGGCTTTATTTTTTTCTATATATCTTTCTGAACACCCCTGACGAAGAGTAATGTAATTTACAAAATTGCACTCGTTTTCTATAACTTTAAAATAAGCCTGAAACATCTAAGCTTCAGATGTAAAATATATATACAATAGTAGAAATTAAACAAGTGTGCTTTCATACCTTACAATTCCAAAATGGTAGAGAAAATCTTCCCAGAAGCCACTAACTGTTAAGAAGAAAATATGTCTTAATAAAACAGGTTTTCTAAAAACATTCATTTGTTTCAGCTTGGAGCACAAGTATTTCTAAAAGTTTAAACAGTATTTTCTGTTGTACTAAAGGTTTATATTCACTGGGTTTCTATACAGTCTTGAATAGTGTGAAAAAGTGTGAATTTGGTTTAAGCAATTGATTAATTTAAAAATTTTTAGCATGTGGAATATATATATATATATATATATATATATATATATATATGTATGTATACACATGCAGATGTATTTAAAACATTATAGTCATTGCCCTGCCCTAAAGCATACAGCTTTTTCTATTTTATTATAAATAGGAGCAAAGTTTTTAAATGAAAACCATTTTGTGCTGAAGACCTAAATCCTAGGTTTAAGATTATCAATTGTCTAGAAACCCTTTTTTTTAAAGAAGTGTCTGACCTTTTTTTTTTTTTTTTTGCAGTTTGTTTTATTTGTGAAAGTAAAATCACTCCACTCTACTTACATTTACAGTAAATTTAGTCTCTGGTGTCAAAAATGGTCCAAAATTTGACAGAAATGTGTTGGGAACTCTGAGAGCGTCGACATAAAAATTATATTCTGAGAAATGCAACAAGTTTGTTTTTACCGTGTGGGGAGATGTAAGCGAAGGGGATCTGCATGAAACACTGCAGGGTCAGAAAGATCAGGCTCGTGTAGACGATCAGCCGCAGGAACTGACCAGTTTTACCTTCAGAGAGCAGCAAAAATTCAATAAAACATGAAAGTTGTTCTGCTCATTCCTTCACAACAAGCTATGCATGAATTTAAATACGAATACCCTGATCTGTTGTACCAGTTAAATCCTTAAGTGGGTAATTTGCTGTGAAAATAGGGATGCGCAATATTATCGGCATGGTATCATCATCAGCCGATATTAGTGATAAAGTTAAATATCGGACATCAGCCATTCCATCAAAGTAACTCACCGATGTAAAAGGAGCTGTTTATATATATATATATATATATTTATTTATTTATAAATAAATAAAAGGCACTGTTTTTGTATGATAACCCAGTGACAAGAATGCCTGCAGCGCCAGCACAACGTTATGACGTCACGTGCACCGTTGAGTTTAGATTTGTGAAAGTTTACAAACTTGCACTGTTCAAGTGTTGTCGTGTTAGAGAAAGTAAATGTCATGAATAAATTTGACATTAAACATAATCCAAGTTGAAGTGTTATATCATTTTCAGTCCCCTGTTTGAAATCTGCATTGGTAGCAGGACAAATTGACAAAGACCGTGCAGAGTAATGTAGTATTTTAATTCCACAGCAGAGTAAAGCTATGTAGTCTCTGTAAGTAGGTCTAGGGGAAAATATCGGTATTGGTATCGGGTATCGGACAAATAAGTTTTAACATATCGGCGTATTGGATATCGGCCAAACAATCCCATATCGTGCATCTCTATGTGAAACAAACATTTCTCCCCTTTGAAATGTTAAATTTTCTTCTGACTGAATTGGATTCGGGATACTTATAATAAACTATAAACAATATGCACACTCTGCTCCAACCAAGCAAAATACACACCTAAATACACCTTCAATTATAACTTAAAGCTGGTCTTTATTGGATTCAAAATGTTCACCTCAATCAAACAAATGATTTATCTGCCAAATATAACATATTCAGTGCATTATTAGTAAAATAATCCTCTTCATAAACATTTTGGCATTAATTCGTAAAGGTTTTTTTTTTTGTTTGTTTTTTTACTCAGGCTCCCAATGTATAGGTAATTTCTTCAAAAGAGAAATCCTGAAAAACGAGCGGTTGCGAGACAAATTTGGTTGGAATTTCAGAGAAACGAACCATTCCATCATGTTGGTTTCAAGTTTCAGTCTTGTAATCAAAATGTTGGAGACACAAAGTGATAATAGCTGATGGGGCTCAACAGTAGCTGAGCCAGCAAATGTGCTGTTGATGTCCACCGTTTTTACTAAAAGCCTTGTTTCACTTAATCCTCTCTGCTTACATATTCACACATATTCACACACACACACACAGAAGCTCCTAGAAGTAAAGGTGGTTGCACAAGTAAAACCCTTTGCACACACACTAGATGAACATATACTTCATCACTTAGTCCAAGAAGGAGCAAATGAAGGGGTGAGGTGAGAAGGTGTGTGTGTGTTTGTGGGTAGGGGTAACATTGTGAAGCTGAAAGGCGAACATCGGGCGGAGGAGAAATGACGGCAGTTAAAGAAGCTTGCTGACATCACATCTTTTAATTCCTTGCTGTAACTACAAGGCCATGCATAATTGATTTGGTCATTCCAACCATTTTCCTTTACAAAGTACTTTGAGGGAGGGGCACTGATGCTTTAATTCAACAACCTGCAGTGGTCAGTGCTGAGAGGGCGCTCAAACAATCGCACATGGATAACTAACTGTGCTTCACAACAATCCTGGCTAAACATATTAAAAGTTGACTGCCAAATGTATTCTGCCAACATGAAGATGACATTCATGTGTTCGTTTGTACTCTTAGCGAAATAGAATCACCGAACTAAATGAACTGCTGAATGGATTGTAATAAAACTTTCAGAATGTAATCATTGGCTGTACATCTACAACAATTTCCCTTTACAGCCTACCCAATTTAAGATGGCTGCCACAGCTAACTGGTCTTAGGCAAAATGGCTGTAAATTTACCAATTTCACAGAAACTGAGCTAAAATGTGGCATGGACTTAGCTGAGCATTCAGGATGAGAAATTTAAAAATCTCCATTACAATCTAAAATATCCTTTACATCATGGTTTTGATTTACAGGTGCTTTGTAGTCAGTGGGATTTTGGGAAAAGTCATCAGAAAAAAGATGGTTAAACATGTAATTCAGACATGTGTTACCCTGACTTTAGAGGGTGGAACAGTTTATTCCATTTCTAAAACTTAATGAAGTTTGGAAAAATGTAAAAAGCCGGCGGTCAACCGCATGAGCAGCTGATCACAACAGATATAAACAGGAAGTACCACATGTTCATCTGTACGAAGGAAACTGTAACATAATCCTCCATTTTCTGCCATAATTACATTGTATGCTTAATGGTTGAATCAAAGGTTAACGCTTAAAGCTAGTTGTGACTTGTTTTGTGTGTTTTATATGTAAAAGTTAACTCAGGCTACAATACGTTTCTTAGACTAGGATGTGTGAGAGAAGTGGAGCATGCTCTGTTCACACAAGGAGAGCTGTTGGTCAGGCTACTTCTTGTTGTGCCATTAACTCTAAAATAGTTATTGAATCAAGTGTTTACTTATGTAGGTAAAACTAGATGTTAAACAACTGTTAAAATACACCAGAATGCAGGAAATGGCATCTACTTTACTCACATTTTTCTGGGGAAGGAATCTCTAACCAGAATAATCACTGTGAAAAAAATCACATAATGTTGCTGCTGGTCTGTTTCAATGTTGCTGCTGATCTGTTTCAATGTTGATGTGTTCATGCGTGCTCATCTGCTCACACAGACTCATGTTCATGTTTGTGCTGATGTTCGACGTAATGTTTTTATGCTATTAGTGCTTAGTGTAATTTAATTGATGTTTTTATTAGCTCATATCTTAGATGTTATCATTGTTTTTCTTTTACATTTTATTGTTGGATGTAACTGGGACCCAGTGTACATAATTTCGCTCCACCACGTGTACCACATGAGGTGCGAATGACAATAAAGAAACTCTGACTCTGACTCTGATTCTGGGATCGTGATGATGGGGCCCTTGAAGTTGCCCAGGGTACAGCAAAGTTTTGATCTGGCCCTGCTCTGAGCACAACACAATCTACAACAGCTTTACTGAAAACTTTGACATTACTTGTGAGAAACAATAACCCTGTTGGCCTGTTAGCAAAATGTGTTGTTAAACCCACCGGAAGGGTTTCAGTGAACCTCTAAGAAAATAATTACTGGGTGTTCTTCTACAACTGTTTTTCTATTGGAGTAATCCCAATTCAAGATGTCCACCACAGATAGTCTACTTTATCCTGCACAAAAATGGCAATACCTCAGTAAATTCAGCAGATACTAAGCTAAAATTTGAAGTGGTAGTAGGTGAGAGAGATTCACCACACATACTCCAAATGCTGACAGATCATGCACGATCACCTGAAATATTGCAATATTCCATTATGGCATTGTTACGATTTGACAAAATGAAGATTTAAATGAGTGAAACTGGGAAAAAAAAAAAAAAAGAGGTATGCTTTAAGTTTGCATCAACACAACCAGAACCAGTGGGTGTTTCAGAGCCAACCCATGTGAAATCATATAAAAGCCATGAGTACGTGGAGCTCCTCACCTTTCAGGGTGACCGGGCTTGGGTTCGGCAGCAACGGCAGCGTGAGCAAGAACACAAAGTACACCACAGACAGGCCGTTGTAGCGGAACGAAGAAGCTGATGTGCAAAAGGGAAAAAACACACAAAATATTGAATAAAAAGCATCTTAATTAATTTCCTTGATCACAATTGCTTTTGCCATTTCTTTTCTTTGAATATTTTAATGCTTTGGGTATTTTTTTTTACATTATTATTTTTTTAAGATTGGGGGGTATTTCATCTTCATATCTTAGGATCTTATTACGATTTTCTTTTACATTTTATACTTTTACCCTGTGTACACAATTTCATTCCACCTCATGTACCACATGTGATGCGAATGACAATAAAGATCCTTGAATCCTTGAATTTTTGACCTTGTGATCTGTATAAAATGTAATCTCTATTTTTTAGTTTCTAATTTAATTCACTTTAAAATCGTTTTTATAATACTTTTATTTTATTTTATTTTAAACCAACACAGTGAAACATCTGAATTAAACAAGTTCTTGTAAAAAAAAAAAGAGCATTCAATCATTTAATTAGCATGTCAGTATCCACAAACTTTACTTTTATTGTCACTTTTTTTAAATGCAAATATTTAGACATTTCTGTTACCTTAAAGCAAATGATTAGAATATCAAAGGAAATGGTGAGGACTGGATATTTGACATATTGGTCAAAAGGTGAATATGCAGCTGGGAAAACTAAATGTTTAGTTATTAATCCATTACCAAAGTAGCTGCATGAAGATTTTGAAAATGCTGGAACATTTACCATGTAAAAATGTCACGTTTATAATAAAAAATCACCATGAGACACAACTAAAGTACACCAAGCCAATTGTTTAAACCTGAAATAAAGTCCTGCAATCCATATGGCCAGGGGTAAAGTTGAAATTATATATGACAGCTGAATTTACCACTCAGATAGATTTATAGTTTGTTTGCAGTCAGCATGGTTGATGTCCTCTTGCTCACACATGACTGGTTTCATGCAATACAAGATGTGAATCATGCCTTTTTCCACAAGTGACTCTAAAGTCTTGTCTTAGCATTTCTTGTGCCGCAGATTCCCACCTCAATGCAACAGCAGAAACTCTGATTTATTGAGGGTCATATTATCGATTAGTCATCTTCAATACGCACCCATAAATGAGCTTTACTGGAAGATTAACTGTGGCACAAGATCTAAAGCAGCTCCTAAAACAAACAATTCTCAATTAACCTCTGCTAATTTTCCAATAACTAAACAGACTTTAACTCACCAGTCAGGAGAAGCAGTGGCACCAATAAGTTGTAGAGTACTCCAACTACAAGATCCCCCGCCATGGTGCACTCCGGATGCCAGAGACACTCGCAGCTCCTTCAGACGCTCGTCAGATAAATATCGTTGAAATGTGGACAGAAAGTCTGACCTCCTCACACATTTCATCGGCAGAAGATTAATGCAGCCTCAGTCAAAATATCTTGTAATAGAGCAATACGTCCAGCACGCTCGAGAAAAAGATCATGTCAGTCCTGCCAGGAGCAGTGATGTGATGAAAATCAGAGCAAAAGGAGGAAAACCTTGATTTGAAACGGTGTGGAGGATGATTGCCTCTTTGCTTGTGTCACACCCTCCTCTCCCTCCCCTCACCTCTCTCTGTGTCTGATATAATGCACTGTAACTCTCTTATTGCAGCTAATCTAACACAGGAGCGGACGCTTTCATTATTTGACTGAAAAACCTGCTTCCGCCTTCAAAAAAGCACTAAAGAAACCTTTTTTTAAAGTGCTTTCTAACAACATTTATGACAGAAGTGTATGTCTCTGCATGTACATCTGTTTTCATATCGAAAGTAACATTTTTCAGAAACTTCTTAATTTTTTTAATTTGATGTCTGAAACCCAGACAGATGCTCACACACTATGTTTGTTTCCTTATAGCCACCTCAGGCTAGCTCATCATATTTTCACTGAAGGGAAGTGTATCTAATATTCATGGCTGCAAGGCCATTAAAGCACCGGTGTGATTACAGCTAAACGATCACAGCGAAGACTGAGACGGTCAATAACATAAATTTATTTCTAAATGTAAGAGATTTTAAGACGTGCGGCGTGAATTTCTTTGTTCTTTTTGGAACCGAGCTGCATTTGTGAAAAACAAAACATACGATGACTACCAGTAAGTTGCTTTTGAGCATATGTGTTTGTGCATATTAAAACTGTAAAACAGATTAAATGTAAACTAATAGTTTAATGAGTAACAGCCATTTTAAACAGATTTGTTATCAGCCATTTTGGTGTAATGAATAGTCACTTGGGTGGTAAATACTCAGCTAATTTGAAAAATATTGACCTAGGATTTGATGTAGAAGCTAACAGATTGGGCAAAATCTTTGTTTAGCATAAATGATCGTAACTTGATCAGTTTTACAGATATTGAGCTGACGTTTTGATGTGGTAGTACCTGAGGGTCATTCACAGCACATACTCTGAGCATGACATAATGCATGAGATTGGCCATAATGTTTTCAACGTTTGATTAAAACACCATTTCTCATCATAAAATTCAAACAAAGCAAGTAGCCAAGTTTCACATGAAGGAAATCCATTCTACTTTAAATTATAAGCATATCTCAAGAAAAACACTTCTTTGATATCAAGATTAATTTCAAAATACCCTTCTTACAATATTGTAAAATGTACGTATAATCAGAAAAACAGCACATAATTTATTAGACTTCACTATTTATGTAATTAAACTAAGCCAAAATGCAGAAAGTTAAAAAATAAAAAAATAAAACGCCTTTAGTTCCACCATGACTAAATCCATTAGGGGGTGGTGCTGATCAAACTGACCTCCAGTAAGAAGGAGCCTCTCTTAAAAGAATTCACACTTTCTGCTGCATTTTCTGCATCACACAATTAATACATGGAGGAAAAACATGAACTTTGATCAGTTGTTGCTTCTCATCAGTCTGGGAAACGTTAAGTTCAAACAGTTTGAGACTATCATCCCACAGTGAAGACTATTGACAAGCGGAAAACTTTTAAGACTTTTATCCAGCTTCCCAGGAGGCGCCTCCAGTAGTTCCTTCAAGTCAGATCGCCCAGTGAGTGATGTGTCTGACTCTCCAAGCCTCATTCAGCAGTTTATCAATGCTGAAATTCATGGCCCTATACGGTAGTTAGAAAAATACTGAAAAGACTGAAAATTCACCACCTATTTATATTTAAATGTTTCGGACTAATGCTGAAAAAGCTGTAGCTGTAGAGTTGTGGGCAATTTGTTTAAACCTTTAAAAACATGAGAAAACTTGTGATTTTGTTGGCTCCAAAAGTTAATCAGTCGTTCACCCTAAAGACTTTCTGGGAGTTTCATTAGCATTTATCCGGTGGTTCATGAGATTTAACCCTAATGACAAATTAACACAAACACACAGAGACATGGGCAGAAACATAGCTTTTAAAATACAAGTAATTTTTAACCTACAAAACAGTTAATTTGTATATAACCAGAGGATGCTTACTCTGGTTGTAGGTGTTCAAGTTTGGAGGGGAGAGTAAGATTCCAGCAGGAAGGTGAGTATAGAAGGTGAGGTTCACAGGTTGGTGTATGAGGATGAAGAGGTAAATGAGATATCTTTCCACTTGTACAGCATGTCTGTATGAAGAGGGTTGGTTTTAGGATGCTGGTTCAAACCCAGGCTGGAGGATGAAGGTAAATCTCAAACTTGAGAACACAGGAAACAGATTCTCATCTGCGAGGAGCACAAAGAAAAGAGGATTCATTTACAATACCGGTATCTTCAATTGCACTAGGGACTCTGGCTGCTCACTGATAAGCAGACAACGTCTCAGCGACACCATCCTCTGCAGCTTTGGTCCTTAAATACAGCAAGGTGGAGAGAACTCTTCCCTGCCACTCAGGAGCTGCAAAAAGGCCACGTACTGGAATCTCTACAGTCTCCAGTCAGCCATCACAATGCAGCAAATTTTCCCAATATAAAACTCCTAAAAGACTTGACTGCACTAATAAATAGTATCACAGCTGCCCCAAAATTAAAAAAATATTTGCCAACTTGCAATAGAGATGCACTTCACCGCTCTGCTTTAATTGTTGTTAATTGATTTAATTTGTGGGTAACAACTTAAATGTGGTCTTAACAGGCAGGAGTTTGTTCTTCTTAAATATTCACAAATATTGTTTAAAGATCTAAAGAGCGTCAGGTCAGCAAAATCAAATCAAAATGTTGTAGGTAGGTAGATAGATAGATAGATAGATAGATAGATAGATAGATAGATAGATAGATAGATAGATAGATAGATAGATAGATAGATAGATAGATAGATAGATAGATAGATAGATAGATAGATAGATAGATAGATAGATAGATAGATAGATAGATAGATAGACTTGTATTGATAATTTAGAAATGTGTAGAAATATTGAAAATTTGCATGATTTAAAAATAATCTGATAAAGGTCTATGGTCTGAACTTGCATGTGCCGCCATCTAGTGACAAAAAGACTCAACAACAAAACGACTAATGATCTTATTGCATAGATTTTCTTTTAAATATAATTTATTTAGAGTGAGTAAAACATTATTGAAATACATGAATTTACATTAAAAAAAACTTATATTAGTAAAGAGTTATTTACTTTGTTCTTCTTTGACCTGTTTTTCTTGATATTATGTTCTGCATTTCATGCAAAACTGTTTAGAATACATACAGCTGTAGAAGGAGCTAAAGATAGTATTTTTCTCTATATTTTATTTTTATTAACCTTTATTTAACCGGGCAAATCCCGTTGCAATTCAGATCTCTTTTGTTAAGGCGACCTGGGCCTGGAGGCAGCCTAACATGCATGTTTTTGGTCTAACCACAAAAGTAATAAGCATAATTACAGGATGTGTGAATGCTAAGTGCTGAATAACTTTGCTCAGAATTAATTAAAGTGATAATGAGCAGAACACAAGCTAAATGCTGAAATGCTAGCTAAAAGTCAAATACCGGTATACTGAATTAACTCCATGCATCCAACATCTTTACCCGCTTCTTCCTTTTTGGGTCACGGGGGTCGTCAGTGCCCAATGTAAAGCAGTCACTGTGCGAGGGGCGGGGTACACCCTGGACGGGTCTCCAGTTCATCACAGGGCCACATGGAGACAAACAATCATTTATTCTCTCACTCACACCTAGGGACAATTTTAGAGTTACCAATCAGCCTAACATATATAGTGCCAAGTCACATCAGGGCACTGAACAGAAACATTAATGTATATAACAATAAGTTAACAAAAACATACATATAAAATAATAATTAACACTATTTAACTGAGGAGCAGACTGCTTTGAATTTAACTCCATCACAGAACTCTCATTTTGAGCAAACATGAAGGCAGCCTGTGCAGTGGAAAGGAAAAACTCCCTGGAAGAAACCTTTAGCAGAACCAGGCTCAGGACAAGCGGTCGTCTGCGTCGACCGGTTGGGTTTGGTAGGAACAGATACACAATGGCAGGTCGAGAATCACATGTTAAAATAGAAATAGTATCAAATGAAAACTATTCAATTGTAACAATTCACTTAAGGAAATAAGGTTAATTTGTCTTCCAGTAGACTAAGCCTATAGCAGCATAACAAGCCAACTCTAATTATAGGATTTATCAAAAAAGAAAGTCTTTAGCCAAGTCTTAAAACTGGATAATGGGTCAGCCTTACAGAGAGAAACTGGAAGTTGGTTCGACAAGAGAGGAGCCTTTTAACTGAAATATCTTCCTTCCTTTCTGCTTTTGGAAACTCTAGGGACCACGAGTAAGCCTGCAGTCTGAGAGCGAAGTGCTGTTAGGAAAATATGGAACAATAAGATCGCAAATTTAAGATGGAGCTAGGTTGTTGAGAGCTTTGTAGTTTACAAGTAAGATTTTGAATTCAGTTCTGGATTTGATTTCATCACAAGCTTTCTTAACATTTATTTCAATGACAGGAATTAGAATACTTACTTTATGAAAAAATGATGAAGTCTGTTATCATGATGCATGCTCAATAATCCAGGTAGAAAAATCTAAAAAAGTTACATCTGGTCCTATGGACATTCAAAAAAAAAAAAAAAATTGTAGAAACGTTTTGTCTTTCATCCGAAAGACTTCCTCAGTCTGAGGTGCTGTATTCAGCTCAGTCTTATAAATAGCACCTTATCATAGTGGATCAACCAGTTTGCTGTTGACTGCCAAACCAGGCTGCTCACATAATCAAGGAGGCTGTTTACTATTCAGACTTTTAGATGAAGTCTGTTATTTGTAAAGATGACTCAAGTTAAATACTTCTTCTGTTATATGTTTGGGACTCTAAACATTCAACTCAATCAATAATGAGCATATTGAATTAATTGTATTCTTGTCTATATCATTCTAAGTGACAGAAGAAGGCTGTTCTTTTCACCTGCTTCAATCCACCTGGCCCTGGACCTTATGGAGGCACCCTGGGCCTTATTTAAGTGTATCGTATCCAATTTATACTGTAATTTGTTTGTATTCTTTTTTCGTCTTCACTCCCAGTTTAATTCACTGTAAAGTGGCATTTAGATCTTTGATCACCATTATTTCTGCCCTCATTTTCCTGTTTAAACCTTCTCCAAATGTAATTGAATGTGTTCGGATGCTAATTTTCAAGTATTCCCATTTAAGTATCAGTGTTTCAATTGTATTATAACTGGTTATATCTGTTGGATTAGTTATTTAACGAACTGACAAAACAAAATTTTTTTTTTTTTGGACATGCTTCCTGCGACTCTTTCTTAAACACGGCGCCGCCTTCCGCGCGCCGTCGTGCCGCTGATGACGCAGTTACGCTGCGCGGTCACGTGACGCAGCGCAGCGGCCTCTCCTCTCCTCCTCTCCTCGGTCCTTCCCAGGGTTCAATGAGCGCTGTGTGGCCCCACCCCGTGTCTCTTCAGCGCTGTCTATCTCCTCAATGTAGGCTACTATTCTCGGAGGGAGAGAACGCGAGAGAGAGAGAAAAGGCGAAAAATACAATCCGCGAAGAATCGTTTTACTTTTACTTTTAAATGTTTTTGGCTGGCGTTCACCTTCGTCGAGCGGCGGCCCGGAGAGGAGCGGCCTTCACGGTGGGAATGTGCTGCTACAACAACCCCGCGTCCTATTTTTTCTGAATGTAAAATGCACATGTAGTGTGAAGCCTGTGGCGTGTTTACGCACCTCGAATTCAAAGGGGGGGATGTGTGTAAATGTATGTTTGTATGAAAAGGTGTGTAAACATTTATAGGCCGTGTGTTTAGGCTGTAAAAACCGAGCCTGACAGCGGGGGTTGATTTTTCACCTGCAAGGGAAACGTGGATACATTTCGAGGGATTCTGACATCTTGGTCACGTTTTCTTTTTCTTTTCTTTAGGCGTTTTTGAGAAACTGATCGTCCCCTTGCAGAGGGATTCGTCGGAGCCCATTTCGGAGCACACGTGTGTTATATATTTTAAAGGCAAAGGCTGTCGGTGCGCAGTTTTGGAGGCTTTGTGGTGATGTGAGGGGCTGATAACATTTTCTGCAACAAAAGCGAGGGGCAGAAGAAGGAGGCCCTTTGGAGGAAAAAATACAGCAAGGAACAGCCATATCACAAACAGGACAAATTAGGGGGATTTTTGGATCGTTTTGGAGTCGAGAAAGGACAGGAAGCCGTGAAGTGGGAGCTGTCTTCGATGTAGAGAAATGAAAAGCGTCCGGATGACGACGGAAGGAAGAATATTACACATGTAGCTCGTTCGGGTGTCAATATTATTTCTCTTCCTGCTTCTGTGTTCCCGACAAAGACAACCGTCGGGGGTGAGGTAGAAATAGCCAAAGAGTCTAAGTACACACTTGTGGAGATGTTTGCTAAGAAAGGCGACGTGAAGACGAGCCGCGCCACAGCCGGGGCGAGCTTTACGGACAGGCCGAGTTCAGCTCCTTGTCACGGGCAGCAGTGAGACGCGAGTCCCCGGCTTTTTGGAGATGCGAGTTAGGCTGCTCCTGCTGCCTCCGTTTGAGGTGAAATCCCGCTTTTGGATTACAAATCTCAGCCCACTTGATGGGGAGAGGGATTGAGTAAAGCTAAACGAACACTAATCTGCATGTGAAGGAGGAAGGAAGAATAATACAACAAAAGTAGGGATCTGGAAACTGAGACAGCGGCCTGCTGCCCCTTTTTTCTTCTGACAGCAAAACACGGACATAATTTTAACAGAACCGAACCACGGACAGATTTTTATCCTGTGAAGCAGCCCAGTTCCATTCAAACTGGGTAAATGTGTGAAACCTTGTCAAATCCGAGGGTGAAACGAGGGGATTAGTTTCATTTATTTATTTTTGTTTCTACAAATCCACCCCCCTCCCTCTCTTGCACTACTAGTCCTTCCACCTCCTCTTCCTCCTCCTCCCAAGGATCCCCATTTTTCTTTTTCCCTTTTTTTTTTTTTGTTTCTTTTTTGGAAAGATGGGTTGTTTGGGCAACAGCAAGACGGAAGACCAGAGAAATGAGGAGAAGGCACAAAGAGAAGCCAACAAAAAGATTGAGAAGCAGCTCCAAAAAGACAAACAGATCTACAGAGCAACACACAGACTACTACTTCTAGGTGAGCTTGGTTAATTAATTTCTTCTTCCCTGGTGTTTTTACAGTGAAGGCCTCTCATTTTGCACAGTTGAGGCTCTGCTTCCTCTCTCTGCATAACCTTCTGGGATGTTGTTTTGGGAAACATTGTCAACAGTGTGACTGCCATTGCATAAGGCTGAAAAGCAAGGCTTGGCTTCCAGCATGCTGTCATATTAAAAGTCTGCAGCTGTTAATGATGTAGGCTTGAACATGGCATAAGAAGGATGAATTATGGATTGACCGTTTGCATTCATCAAACATTCTTTAATGCAAGAAAACTGGTAACAGAATGCAGAAAATGCTGGTTTGGTTTTACTTAGGTCGGAGTAGATTACAAAACAGCTGCTGGTTTATGGTTGTTTAGTCCAGATGTAACAACTAGGAGGATTAATGCACAGCTAACCTGTAAGGTTCAGTATCAGGTTGAACGTGTGAGTGAACTGGAGGTGGGCCGAGTCTCTCACATTACATAAGAGACCAAAAAAAAAAATTGTCTACCTCCTTTTTAAAAGCTCTTCTCTGTTCCCGTCTTGTATTTCCCTTCACAGGTTTATCACGCATTAAAGAGGCAATGTGGAAATGGTGATATTCAAGTAGTTTATTGTTGAGAGTGTGCAGTTGGTGTTTAACAAGTCCGTTTTGTTTATTAGGGAGGAAGTTGTGGTGGCTTTTGGAAAGCAGGACAAGACCCACATAAAAATGAAAACAATGATGCGCTTTTAAAGGCAGTTCCTTTTTTTTTTTTTATCTGATGAATTAGGTGTAAAACTTGCAACCTTTAAATGCTGGAAGAATTTTTTTTAACATATCCACAAAATAATCTATTGGCAGCACTCTTCTCCAGCTGCAGTGGACAAATATTTGTTTGTTTCTTTGTCTAAATCTAAATTTGCACCCAAAAAAAAGCTAACTGCTAGCATGCATTTACACTCATTTTAAATCCTGACAGCTTTTTCCTTACTCAAGTTAAGTTTCTGTTTGCCTCCTGGATTAAAATTAATTGGTTTTACTGGATTAACAAGGCCATTTTAAACTCCTAATGGCATTTTGCCCCATGTCAGCATGTCGTTTCACCTTTATTTGCAACTGTCAAAAGAGAAAGCTAGCATATGAAGCTTTGTTTGATTGACACAGGGTTATACAGGTATGACCTGTGATTAGATCCTCAGGGAGATGTTGACTTTCAGACATTATCCCATCATGCTAAATTCATGCATCAGTTTTGATGTATGAATATAAACATATCAAAAACCTTAAATACTTAGTAAAGTTATACATCATTTAAATAAGTTACTTAAAAAATTTAAACGTGTGCCGGTAATTAATTTGAGATTAATTTTAAGCTCAATCTAGGAAACAACATAGTGATCTTTTTTTTTTTATTTTTTTTTTTATAAAGCTATCTTGGCAGTGTTACATACAATTTAAATACTTTTACGTTGTTTTGAAATTGTCAGTAAAAAAAAAAAATTGCATTTTGATTTTTGCTATTTTGGATACACAACCAAAGTTATAAAATAGGTGGTGTTTTTCATGTCTCTTCTGTATTTTAGTAGATTTTGCACTTATTTTACAACAGGGGTGTCCAATCCTGGTCCTCAAGGGCCACTATCCTGCATGTTTTACGTGTTTCTTTTCTCCAGCATGCCTGATTAAATGGTTGAATTACCTCTTCATGTTCTAAAAAAGTTAAATCTAGTCCTCTGGACATTCAAAAAAACAAAACAAAGCAAAACAACAAAAAAAATGTAGAAACGTTTCGTCTCTCATCCGAGAGACTTCCTCAGTCTGAGGAGCTGTATTCAGCTCAGTCTCTTAAATAGCACCTTCTCAGAGTGGATCAACCAGTTTTGCTGCTGACAACCAAAACCAGCTGATCACATGATCAAGAAGGACCATCAGCCTCACCAACCTCTTCATGTTCTGTAGAAGCTTGTTAATCACCCATTGATTCAAATCAGGTGTGTTGGAGCGGAGAAGTATCTAGAACATGCACGACAGTGATCCTCAAGGATCTGGATTCTGCAGCTCCTCACTATATTTCTGCCTTGTCTCACAGTATGTTACAATATGAGAAAAAACAAGGAGATGGAAGAGAAACAGCAGGGAAAATACACTGACTTGAAGTCATCAAACAAATTGGAGAAAGTATTGCACGATAATGGTAATAAAAAAAAAAAAAGTCCTCTAAGTCATAGGTTTTATGTAAAAGTTATATAATTTGTTTTTAAAATTCTCACAAAAGCGTTGGAATTAAGAAAATGCATCCTCGGTTGAAATGAAAAACACAATTTGAGGAAAAAAAGAAGTTTAAGCAGATTGTCGCTCTAGAAAATTCAGGTGTGTCTTAACACCTTTTTACGGTGGCCGACAGGTGCGAACGAGCAGCAAACGGCGAAACGAGCTGCAAACACATGTATGATGCAAACTCCAAAACATGCACAAAAATAAAAAAACAGCAACAGAAAAACTGTGTAAACAAAAAAATGCTGCAATAACAGAAAATGGAAGCAAAGATCTACAATCAACAAAAAAAGTAAAATGCTGCAAATAGTAAAAACAGCAAACTCGCTCCACAAAACGAAAGTGCTCCAGACCACTAGGGGGAGTCGTAGGGGGAGTCGAATAAAGAACAAATCATAAAAGGAAGTTGGGGGAAGAGAGAAAGTATTACAATATTATAGAATAGCAGCACAGTTACGTAGGTAATGTTAGCATGCTAGAGACTTTGATTTACAAGTTTGCATCTCTTATGTGTCAGTCACTGCATTCGGAGGTCTGTATAGTAGACGCCTCGTTGAGCGGGCTGGCCCGCTGCAGTACATCGGAACGTCCGCCATATTGAATGTGGCAGATCTGTCGGCCAACTAATGCAAGGAAATGGACTGAACTTCATAAAGCACTGTTCTACAAAGTGTTTTAAGTTGATGCCTGTCATTCACACACTAATATATTTTGAAAACAAACTGGCACCAATGACATTTGTAACTTTTAATGTGATTATTAAAAATGTTTACTCGTAAACACTAAACCAATGTATGTATTCTTTCGAGTGTTTAAAACTACTAACGTGTGTGTAACACTATTACTGTGGCGATAAATATAGAAATATTCATATTTAACATTTAATCTGTGCCTATAATAACCCGATCCTGAAGTGTAGATGTGACGTGGATTTTTTTTTGAATAAAGAGAACTAACATTCACATTTAACTGATTTTGATGAATCACATCGATGAACCAATATATCTTTACAGGGGGTGGGGGTATATGCAGTCTGTGTGTGCATGTGTGTAAATTATAAACCTTGGAAAAGAATGGTCTTGCACAACTTTTTCTGTGTTGCCACTCTGAATGAACGAGGCATCTTCTATGTATCGATTCACTTTAGCCACATTCAATACAGCGGTGGCGTCGACGTATGATTCAGCGCTCAATGAGGCGTCTATAACCTTTTCTTTCTTCCTCCAACTTTCTTTTATGATTTCTTCTTTGTTCGACTCCCCCTAGTGGTTTGGAACACTTGCGTTTTGTGGAGCCGTTGTTTTTGCAGTTGTTTTTACTATTTGCAGCATTTTTTGTTTGCGTTTGTTTTGTTGATTGTAGAGCTTTGTTCGTATTTTCTGTTGTTGCAGCATTTTTCAGCTGCATTTGTTTTTTTTTTTGTTTGTTTACTTGTTTTGGAGTTTGCATCATGCATGGGTTTGCAGCTTGTTTCGTCGTTAGCTGCGCGTTTGCACCTGTCGGCCACCGTACCTTTTGGGTAGACAAAGACATAAGCAAGGATCTTTGTAATAGAATTGTTGCTGCCCACCAATATGGGAATGATGAGACCATTTCTAAAAAAAACTGGAGTCCATTATTCTACATAAAGGAAGATTATTCACAACTAAAACACAAGACCGTGGTCAGATTTACCAGGAATAGACATGCCATTTAAATTTACATTCAAGTCAAAGCAGGTACTTTTTTAATAAAACGGCAAAGAAAAAAAAAAGCTGCATCCCAACTTTGAGACTTCAGTAATTTAAATGTTCAGTATTTTTATAGTATGAACACAGTGAAGTGTGTTCTGAACCACTCCATATAATAACTATGCAAATAATATTAATGTTGAAGTTAATGACAAGTCAGGCTTCTTTACAAACACTCCCAGTAAGTTCTTATTTTCTTAAAACTACAATAACATGACATCAAAACTGGTTTTAAAACATACACTTTAAAAATTCAAACGTAATTAATTAAAAACAATTGGAACAATGTTTCAGAGATGGACTCTCTAAGGCAAAGTGGAAATGTTTGAACATAACGTACAGTGCGTTATTTGGTGGAAGCCAAACGCATATCAGCTTGAAAATGTCACACAAACTGTCAAGCACGGTGGTAGAGTTGATGATGTGGGCTGGTTTTGCAGCCACAGTACTCGGAAAACTCATTGAGTCGACCAAATGTGAAGCCACCTGTCAAACAACTGAAGCCTGTTTCGAGTCAGGTCGCACAGCAAGATGAGACTCCCAAACAGCAGCAATTACATCAAAATGGCTGAAAAAGAAAAGAACCGGTGACCCAATCAAAGTCCGTACTCCCAATTTTAATAGAATTTCTGTGCTGGGATCTCTAGAAAGTTGTGAATACCGTAAATGAATGCTCACATGCCTTAATAAATCTAAACAATGTTGTCAGACTGCATGAACCAAAATTTTTCCACAACAATGTGGGAGACTGATAAAGTCACGCAGGAGACAAATACTTAAAGTTCTTGCTGATAAAGATAGTTCTATAAACGGTTGAGAAATGCAACGTGCTTACCTTTTCCACAGATTGCTTCTGCAAAAATGACACCATGGAAAATATCACACGTTGCATTTAACTAACTTTAAAACCTGATATTAACCGGTTGAGTTATTCTCTGATGACTGTTGGAAGATTAAAGGTTTCCTTGTTATTAGTCGATTATATAAACTGTAGATTGACAATCCTCTGAAATATCCCAGTCCCATATTTTCTGGGCGTTGAGTGCAGGTTAAAGTTGTCAAATACTAGCTAAATTAGTACTGGATAAGTTAATTTTAAAAGTTGTATCAAGTTTTTTAATCTTGTTTCTTTGCCAGACAGTTGATTTGTTGAGGGTCTTTGATAAAGCAGGGGGGAGTTTGTCCCATGGAAGTGTTTTCTGTGTTCTTCATTTTCTGTCAACATTAAACCAACATGTAGCATCACCTCTGATGTCTTGGCATTGTTAGCTTTTTGGAGGGATGCATGCAAGTGGTTTTGTTTGAATACCCAGAATCCTTCAGTCTCCAAACAATAAGGACAATCCAGACTGACACTTTCTTGCAGCCACACCCATGACTTTGGTGTTTTTCATGTATGAAACAAGCTGATCTTTTTTGAAGGAGTAAATAAATAATTATTTGGTTTAGGCAAGTAAAATGACTTGCAGTGAGTTTTTGGTTTTAAAGCTTAGGTGAGATCAAACAAATGCAAAATAAACTAATGAGCCAGATATAAGAAAATCCTCAGATACGGCAAATACTCCACAGCTTGTTATACTACAATTTAAGGTGCTCGCTCTTCTCATAGATGTGCTAACTGCAAGTTTGACATTACAAAGAGAGCTGTGAGGTTTTTTTCTAACAATCACATTTTTTGGGGACTGACGAGGTAAAGCTAGCTTCCCAGCAAGGCCACGTGCTGCCAGTTTCAGTTTGTTGTCAAATACATTGCACACAAACCCAACACAATATTGTGCTGCAGGTTTTGCACTCAATGTAAAATTAGGTAAAAATCCAGGTTGTATTTTTTTATAAATACTTTTAAGAGATTGATATTGTGGCCACCGTAATTCTTTAAAGTTGAATCAGTGTCTCATGTAATTTAGGGCATTTTGAGGGGTTCTAATAGATTTTTAATTTTTCTTTTTTATTTTAGAGTTACAACACACTTATTGCAATTGGAATCTAGTATTTTAACAATAAATTTTAACATAAAAACTTGAACAAAATGCTCATAAAATTACAGAATTATTTGTTTTATTGGTTGTTGGGTTTTTGTGGAGTTCATGTTTTGGCTCTATAATAACCAGTCGGCTAAACTTCTGCTCCATCTTCCAGGGTTTGAGCTGCCACCTTTGCTGCACGAGGTTTTTATTGTAAGAGGCTGCATAATGTTAACTCTTGTGCACCTGCCTTCTGTTATTCTTGTGGAAGCTTTGGTTCACACAATTTACAGGATTTCTGTTTTTTCAGGACTAGTTTTAACAGACGTGAAGTTTAGTTGCTTTCTAGACTTCTAAACTACACAGGGTTTTAACGACAGTGTTCAAAGTGATATGGTTGATTTTTAGATTTTGTGGGATGTGGTATTTCAATGATACCACTCAACCTTATTGAAAAGTCTAATTGTCTTCTGGATTTAAGGTGTGCTCATTTTTTTTTTTAATTTATTTTTGTTCCTTTATTTTTGGTCACAGGAGCTGGAGAGTCGGGAAAGAGCACCATAGTGAAACAGATGAGGATCCTACATGTGAATGGCTTCAATGCAGAGTGAGTATGATATAAACAAAATCCTACAAGTAAATACACGCAACAACTATTTAGTCCAATATGCTTTTATAATCAAGAAGCTGATGATGTGTCCTCTGGAAAACCTCAAATCCTGGCTGTACTTGCACCTTCTTCTGACACTCAAAGATTAGATCAAATGTCCAGTTAATATATTTCACAATGTATTTGCTTCTGTGCGGCATACAACTCAATATATTCCTAAGTTCACAAGATTTCAGAAATACCCTTTTGAAAATATTTGCATATTTCCCACATTTTTTGTCCATGCAGGTTTTAGACACTGAGAACCAGTCATAGTTTCAGGAAGTTGCTTTTAGCTTTTGCCAATCATTAAGTGGTTAGGACACACAAACGCCTTGTTTCCCTTCTTTTATATAAAATTGTTTAATCATTTGCAAACAAGAGCACTTCCTTTTTGCTGCCATACAGTTGCCATTTTACTTCCTAATATGCACACAGGTGTAGTGCTATAGTGTGCTGATATTTTAAGGCAGTGCATAGGTAAACTGGATACTGAAACCAAAATATCTAAAATAAAGTCTTAAAATTAGCATCAAGTATCTACTGTATCATTTGCTTATTATTGATTACAGTGGCTGGATAAGGACTACCTTATGTTGCCGCTTACATTCTAGCAGATGTTTTGTTGGTCTTTTGTGCTTCTGCCAGGGTTAGGTTATAACAAATGTCCAAGCGTCTAATCTGCAACCTTATGTTTTTGACACTTGAGGAAAAAAAGAGGATCTTTGGATAATTTGTTGGAGATAATGTGGATTAGGTGGAGGGCAAAGGTGCTGGACAGATGTGGTGCACCGAGGCATCTAGAGATGGCATGTAGGGAATATACCTGAAGCACAAGTCCAGCAAACTTAACTCCTCTTCAGCAGAACTTCTCCATCTTGACAATTCTGGTGACTTTCAGCCCGAGTGTGTCGCAGGTAGGCCTCTACCACTTGTATACTGCACAGTGCTGCTGTATGGTGATTGGTTCTAGCTGTGCCTCAAATTTGGTGTTAATGGCAGAGGTGATGCATCATCAAGGTCATTCTCATTGTATGTGGTGCATGTGGTGGAACAAAATTGTGTACTCAGGGTACCAGTTACATCCAACAGAAATATAAATTGTAAAGAAAAACAGTAAGATCTAAGATATGAACTAAGAAATAATAGTACACAAGTATGCTAAAATTTGCTCAACTAAGAATACGCTAAGCACTAATAGTACACTAGTACTAGTACACTAATAATAATAGTAATAACAATAATAGTACACTAATAATGAACTAATAAGTTTGCTAAACTAAAAATACACGAAGCACTAATAGTACAAAAACAATGTGCTGAACAACAGCAGCACGAACATGTCTGTGTGAGCAGATGAGTACGAATGACTACATCAGCATGAAATAAATCAGCTGCGTGAGATCAGCAGCACTTATTAACAATCAAGTGGCATTACAGTGATTTTCTTTCTTTTTTTTTCACAGTGATAATCCTAGTTAAATGTTCATGAGTCTAACTGCTTCAGAGTAGAAGCTGTTCCTCAGTCTAGTGGCTCTGCACTTTATGCTCCTTAACCTCCTGCCTGAGGGGAGCGGGGCAAAAAGTGTGTGCTGGGTGAGTGGGGTCCTTCATGATGCAGGTGGCCCTCCTGCATCAGGAGGTGTAGATGTCTGTGAAGTTGGGGAGGCTGACTCCAACAGTCTTCTGTCCAACCTTCACTGTAGTTGATGGGTTCTAGTAGGTGAAGCAGAAAACAACTTGGGCAGCTCCAGATGCAACAATTCTGGTATTGAAAAGTGATGAGTCTATGAAATGTGATGTTCAATCTGGAATTTATTTTTTCTTGCCATCGTTGTTTAAAAAAGTGGAATTGACTGCTGCTAATCTCAAACTCTGCATATTAGAGTCGTTTAAACCACAAGAACATTAACCATGAACCAGTGTTTTTGCAGGTTCATTAAAACTTTGTCAGATTGTTTTAGGCATAACATTCTTAAACTATAACCCAATAAAAACTCTTAAAACCTTGAAATGTGTCACTGTAACAGATTTTAAACAAATCAGACAAGAATACAAACTGAGAATAAATCACACTGAGAGCCAAGAACCTAAATTAATTTTATTTATTTATAGTTATACTTTTATTTTGACTGGTTTTGGCGACAACTCTTAAATGAGCAAGCTGCTTGCTTTTTCCTGCCTATTTGGTTTTTGAATCACACTCTAAATTATGCATTACACATACAGGAAGCAAAGAGAAACTTCTGTATGCGAGTTTGTGTGTTGGTGACTAAGCATGGGTTGGGTCTGCTAGTGGTCATGTATTGGTTGGGACTGAAGCATCTTTGCAAGGTTAGACTAGAAAATGAGCACCTTAGGCAGACTAAAGCATATGACCCAGTGCGTGACTCCACAACGCTGAACAGTGTGTGTGTGTCCTTGTGTTTGTGTAGGAAAGTGTCTAAATGTGCATGCCTGTTCATGTTCTGTGTGTGCGTGGGTGGCAGATTAATGCAACATCATAACTTGTATATCTGACATTACTGGAAGTGTCGGGCTGATTTGGTTTAGCATTCTGCTGTCTCGTGTGCACTAAACTGAAACTCCATATTAGCTTGATTGTTTGACTATAGCATTTAACGTATCGCATTTAGGAACTTTTCTTGGTGATTGAAATCAAAACGGCAGTGTCGCAGACAGTTGCTTGTGGGTCTTCACATGACAAAAATAGTAACATGTTTTAATGAGTACAGATCCTCCAGCCTGGCACAAATATGTTGATTTGGGACATAAAGTGTCCAATGATGCTAGTGATAACAGATTCAAGATGAATGGTTTGAGTGTTGTGGTAAAGTCAGAGTAATTGACTTGTGACTGATGGGTTTTTGGTGTTGGTCATGTTTAGGGGAAAAATTAATGAAAGGCTCACTTGGGTCTTCTTTTAAAATTGACTATTGAAGCGTCTTGGTCAGTGTGTTTAACTTTCAGCTTTACCACTAGGACTTTCAAGTGTTTAAAACAGAGGACTGAAGCTAAAGCTGCTTTGCCATTGATAAGTGCAACTCCATTCAGCTCTTGTCTTATTGGTTCTTCACAGGTGTAGGTGATTTGGCACTGTGACTTGTTTCCCCGCTCTCTGGGCGGGATCGTCGATGCAAAGTTGGTGGGTTAGTTCGGTTTGGTAGGCGGGGTGCTCAGTCCTGTTGACGGGGTGGGGCACCCCGCTTGTATAATGGTAGGGGAAACACTGGGAACCACTCCACCCATTATGGTCCTTAATCGTCCTATAATCAGACTCTAGTTTCTTTCCTGACACTGCTTATAAGTCTGGGTGTAGCCTTGCTCACCATCATCTCCAATAGTTCGCTGTAAGTGCGCTCATTTCTTGTGGCACCTCTATCAACACGATCAGTGGCCAATCAACGGCTGCTGATGTCAAAATCATCACCTCAAAGCAGTTCACTTGGAACCTCAAACAAGATGGTCCCATTGACCAGGCTGACTGGGAGTGGGTAACGGCAGTGGGCAGGCCCTTAACTGCTGCGGCGTGATATGGAACCGATGAGAGTTGAGATGGTGGCAAAGCACCAAATGTGGGACCTTTTTGAAGGGTGGGTGCAAGCACCACAGTGATGAACTTCAGAGTCCACAGACACAAATATGTGACGACCTTTACACCATTCAGTGGTTTTAATCAACATTTTATACAGAAAATACCGGTAATTATATTATTATATTTTCCTTATATTCATGTTATTTGCTGTTTCCAGATTGTTTTCCTTCATATTTAAACTAATTTAATCTGTGGATTTGCTTGCAAAAAAACAGTTAAAAAAAACCCATTTCTATTGTGTTGAAGTGGCAATTTTTTTATTATGCACAGAGGCACCTTTTAAACAAAATGATTAATTTAATGTTTTTATTTACCTAATAATTCTGAATTATTTAATTTCAAATTAAACGACCTAGCTTTTCTTGAAGGGGTGCAAATCACTCCTTCAAGTAAGAAGTAAACAAAGATCATCCTGTGTTAAGAAATGACATTGTTACTGCAGTTATGGTCACCATGAAAATGAGCGTGATTTCATGAGATCTCACTCAACCTGGTAATACTTGGAGTATGTGCGAAGTAGGAAATTACTCTAAGCTACTACCACACCAAATTTTCGGCTGCACAGTGGCTTAGTGGTGAGCACTGTTGCGTCACAGCATAAGGTCCTGGGTTCAATCTCGGGTTTGGACCTGGGGTTTTTCTGTGTGGAATTTGCATGTTTTCGTGTGTACGTGGATTTTCTCTGGCTGCTCTGGCTTCCTCTCCCACAGTTGAAAAACGTGCATGTTTAGGCTGCCTTCAGGCCCAGGCCTCTCCTGATAAGGAAATCCGTGCTCTCCATGGGATTTGCCTGATAATATAAAGGTTCATAAACATATATACTTAACTCAATATTTGTAAAATTGACTGAGTGATAGACATTTTTGTGTTTGCTAAGGCTGTGGAGGCCATCTTAAATCAGTCCGACTCTAAAAGTTGGTCAGTTATAGATGTACATCTATTGATTACTGTTTGAGAGTTTCATTAAAATCTGTTCATTAGGCCCTAATGAAATGGCTACCATTGCCCTAATGATTTGGTAGCTCAGTGGTCAGTGCTGCAGTCCTGTGATCCTAAAGCTTCAGGTTTAATCTCAGGTTGTGTCAGGAACGGCATCCAGTCTAAAACACTTGCCAAATTCTCTTTCTCTATTTTAGTTCACTTTTTATGATAAACGCAATAGGCACACGTAAATCCAGGCAATTATGATATGCCTGCCTTTTGGTAGCAGGCAGTAATCAAACTATAAATTATGCCATTTATTTTGGGGTGAAGACAGTTCATTCTGGTTCGATGTATTACAGAAATAATCAAAACAAAGACAGTAAAATTTAGTAAAATAGTAGCTGCAAAAGGAATTATTTTAGAAAGCAAACTTAACAGAGTTTCAACTTCAATGTATAATGGGTCCAGAGCAACAGACTTAATTTTTTTAGATTTTTCTACCTGGATTATTGAGCATGCATCAGGATACTTAAATTTAGTTTCTTGTCCTGAGCATGCCTGTGGCAGCATCCAAACTCTCTTGTTTATTAATTTATTCGTTAGTTGATCTTTCGCACCTTCTTTGTCTCTTCCTTTTTGTTACTTAATAAATTCACATGCAGTTTCAGTGGGTTCACCTCTTATGTCCATTGTAAACACTGACTGACTGCCTCTGTACTGACTGGAGGTGGAGGGGCAGCATTTTGTGAAGTACCGGTAGTTGCTTTGGCCTTGCAAACAGCATCTCGCATGAAAACTAGTGTCATGGTGCCTGCTCGGATTTTGTTTTTTGGCTGGTTGTGCACATCTTGATTTGTATCGCTGTGCAAGTGGCACATTTTAACATGGGAAAACCAGCAGAACAGTCTGCAAGACGGTTTATTTGTACCAATATCTGATTGACTGAACAAAACTCAAGATGGCCTAGTTATTACAAGTATTACATAATTAGAAAAACATCTTAACGATAAAGCAGATGCATGTAAATGTGTTAGTTGCATAGGAATAATGTCTTGTGTGCGTGACATTTTTTGGTGTCAGTTTTGCTGATTAGTGGCGTTTATTATCTCTACAGCAATGCTAAACATAAAGGAGGAAAACTACTGCGACTGCAGCTCGCCTGATGCATCATATAAAAGGCCACTCTTCTATGTTGACATCACAACGCACTCGTACCAGGACCAACCCTCCATTACAATCTTGGCATTACTCTAGACTGTAACATACCTAAAATATTTCTGTGGTTTTGAATCCGACTAAAAACACGTTATATAACAAGCGTTTACCAGCCAATGCTTAAACTGCTCCTCCATTTGTTGTCCTTGTTGCATTGTTTCTTTCATGTGTATGTATAAGATTCAATACTAAAAAAAATAAAAAATAAACTTTAGCCAGAATACATCACTATTAAATTATTTGTCTACTATACGGAAGACTCAGCTGGTTACTTTTTGGGTCAACTCAATCTTTTAATATTACAGCTGAACCCAAGACAAAACAAAGTGAACCAAAAAAATGAAAAGTGGGAAAATAAAACAAAAGACTGGGAAGACGAGGCAATGAAGAAAGCACTCTCAATCTTAAGACTGGAGTTGGTGTACACACGCACAACCATGTGATTTGTAATGACTGTCAGTTTGAAAGTATAAACAGGGCCTTCTCAATCCCTTTCTAACCCGATGAACTCTTTGCCCTGCTCTTCCGTCTTTCTTTTGCCTCAGTTTATTGGTGTGACCTCACAGGTGACACGTCTTGGAAAACAAACATCTGCTTTATCTATGTTTCTAATTAAAGCCTTGTCAGAAATGCTGAACGTTTGGCATCAAGATGAGCAGCTAAAACTTGTGAATAGCTTAGCATCAACGTAGCAGCATCCCAACAAGATCTTATCTTTTAGATGAAATGTGAACGGATTGTTTGATTTTGTCGATTAAACGTGCAGATTGCATCACCTACATTAAGTTATTTTACCGTTGGATTTTATATTTTCTGCATATTTCATACTCTTGAACCAGCGTGAACCTTTTCCTTGATGGGGGGGAAGGTAGCCTAGAAAAATAGAGGCCAATCTCACCCTTTGTCATTGACATGGAACCATTGTAAACACAATGCGCTGTTGTCCTGGCAGGCTCAAGGTGAAAGATATACTAACTGGATCACTGGTTGCCTTTTATTAGAAACATTTCTATCACCAAGAGTCCCAAATGTCTTGTACACAGTTATCATTCACATCAGACAGACATAATTTCTTCTCCACGCGTGACAGTGAAGGTCTGCTTACCCTTCCAGATCAAAAACAAACTCAGCACGGTGCACTGCAGTGTCCTTTTTAACACTTTTCATATTTGCAGGCTAAATTAAATCATCTAAAGTTCAATAAAGACAAAAAAAACATATGTTTTTCCTATATTGCTGGCACAGAAATCAAGCCAACAGAGTTTTATTTCTTTTGGAAATACTCGACAGGATTAAGACTAGTTGGCTGTAAATTATTGTCATTTAGCTTAATCAATTCTTTCAGCAAAATATTTTGTTAAAACTGATGTCTTCTAACTTTCATAAGTTGTATTACACTTGCATTACTTTTTTATTATATCTTGGACAAATTTATAAAATCAGGCAGCTTAAATAATTCTTCATATATATTACGGTAGTGTAAATGTTCTGTTTGTTTTTGCTTTTATTCTGATCCATGATCATCTCTGCTCTATTTTTACACAATGCTCACCCCTTTTTATTTCAGAGAAAAGAAGCAGAAAATTCAGGATATTAAGAACAATATAAAAGAGGCTATTGAGGTAAGTGTCTTCTTTTAATTATTTTTTTACTTTTTTTTAATACTTGAGCCTAAAATCAATGAACACTTTTAACAAATAGGGCAAGACAGTCTTTTTTTTCTTCAGAGGTCAAAATGATGTCAATCATTGTGTATTTTCTTTGTTTGTGACAGACCATAGTAACAGCCATGAGCACCCTGACACCACCTGTGCAGCTGGCATGCCCAGAGAACCAGCACCGGATCAAATACGTCCTCAACCTCGTCAACCAGAAAGACTTTGATTTTCCATCTGTGAGTGGCACTTCATCCGACACACACCCACAATCAGAAATATTATTTCTGCAAACAGATGTTTGACGTTACTTTTTGACGTTCTGGCTCCTCACTAAGTCAGGAATTAAAAGGTTATAACAACTTATAATTTCCATCCATTCATTATCTTTACCCGTTACTTCTTTTTGGAGTTGTGGGGGTCACTGGTGCCCATGTCCAGCAATCACTGTGGGAGAAGCGGGGGACACCCTGGACAGGTTGCAAGTCCATCACAGGGACACATAGAGACAAACAACCATTCGATGTCACTCACAGGGACAATTTCACATAATGTAATTGTACTAAATTTTAGTTTAAACCTAAATTACTTTTTTTTAAGTCCATATGAAAATCTTTATAAATTGTTTTAAACCCTTCAAGTTTGGGATTTTCAAAATGTTGCAAAGTTTAATCTTAAATCTCTGACATCATCTCTGATTACTTCATGCTGTAAGCTCTTTTATTCATATATTTTTGTTTGTAGTCTTTATTTTTGCAAAAAACAAAACTAGCATTACCTATTTGGGGCAGCATTGTAAGTTAAGACATCTTTAATTTAAACAAGAACTGAAAATGGATTATGCAAAAAAAAAAAAAAAAAAAAAAACTAAATGCATTTAAGAACAGGAAACAAACCAAAATAAACTGAGAATGAAATTAGCATTTTTTTTGAAGGACTACAAGTTTCGCACAACTTTTCATGCTGTAGTTTTAAACAGAGTTCTTGTGTGATTTGTTAGTGCTTGGACAATGTGTTGTAAATGACTCTCGGCTACTACCACGCCAGATTTTTAGCTCAATATATGTAAGAATGACCGATTTAAAGCTATTTGTTAGCTGTGGAAACCATCTTGAATTTGGTTGACTCTGAAAGTTAACCAGTTGTGGGTGAACAATGAATGAGTCTCATTAGAATCCATCCACTGGTTCTTGAGATATTTTGCTAACAGACAGACATATGAACACATAATACTTTATTGCTGGCATTTCATGGCGGTTCCATAGCAATAATGTTATTTTCTATTACGCCGGTTTGTGCTCTTAGTTATGTGCTGCATTTGTTTCATCTCCTGATCCATTAACATTTAAAATCATTTTAGTAATTTAGTATAAAAATAGTTTAAAGATCTGTAACCTATTAAAAATTAATTTTACAAATGAAAAGTAAGATTGTCACAGCTCGATAAATCATATTTTTCTGGTGTCATTTCATTGGTTTTTCATCTAAATTGTTTTGAAACGTCACAGGTGTGTCGAGCTCTTCCTGGAAAATTACATTTGCAGTTGAACCAGGTTGCCTCAGCTGTGTTTGTGCTTCCGTGTGTCAGTAAAGTCCCAAATTCCCAGGTGACGGCCCGTGACACAGGTGTTGTGTCAAGACGCCGTGTTACCGACACTGTGGTTTACCCATAACCCCCACAGGGAGTGTCTGTGTGGGTTTAGTATTGTCAGTGGGACGCTATCATTAACTAATTGTTCAAACCAAGAGACCTAACTGCAGAGCCTCGGTGTTCGTTCAGACACCTGTGGAGCCGAACATAATTCAATTTTCAGTTTACTCGGTCTCACCTGTCAGTGGGAGCTGATTTTAATTTAGCCTTAAAGTGTCACCAAATAACTGTTCACGTAATAATCACAGGAGGAATTCTTTCACCAGATTTAATGTTGTCGTTTGGAGCGCTGATAGGAAATCTGATGTTGGAGCTTTCCAGACAATTTTCAAACATTCAAGTTTTAAACTCTAAAGTCTACGATGAACAGACACGATCATGGTCTGTCATGCTTTCAGAAGCTGAGTCAGCAGTTGTCACTGAGTAACTGAGCTAAAACAAAAGATCTATAACAGAATTTGCATTTAAATCCTTTTGTTGCATGAAACTCTGTATTTTATACCTCTGCTAATAAATAAATATGCAATATAAGTTGTTAATGTTATGCTATTTAAGGGCCACATAAAACATCTGGAACATCGTGAATGCAGACCCAAACTGGTGTTGAATGTTACCATATTCAGGTCGGTAAGAGGTTTTATGTGTTACAGGGTGTTTTAGTGGATCAAAACTGCTGAAAATTTTAACTTTCCTGTTGTTCCTGTGTGAATTTTTGTTGTTGCTGCAGCTCATTTTAATCTAAGACAAAAGGGAGGTAGAATTTTGGACAAATCTGTCAAAAATGTGGATTAAAAATGCACCCTTATAGATGATCAGTTGCATAATTTATGCACACACCTAGCAGCGATGAGCTCATTGTCCCATTCTGAGTTGATGCTTCTGTTTAATCTCAAAATCGTCCTGCAGTGTGTGTGACACTTGCACTGAGCTGTTGGGATGCGCTTATTTATTGCCGTTTATCATCAGTTCCCGCTTGGCTTTACTTGTTTGACTTGTTTTTGACGAGCACTGCATAGTTTCCAAGTTACTAAACAGGATGGCGAAAGTGTATTTTGCCTGTCACTGGAATTTGTATGAGGGATTATGCGTGGGTGTGCGTGGGTGAAGAGAGGTGTGTGTGCTCGAAGGCGTCGTAGACACACACTGTCACTTCCGCTCACACCGTCACATCATTTTCAATACACGTACGTACTTTTAATCTTTGCTCAACGGGGCTTCATGTGGCATCTTTTAGAAATATTTAAGTTTTATTTTGAATCAGCATCTCAGTTTTGAAAAAGAGCAGTAAATTTAGTCAAAATTAGCCAAATATTTCTGTGATCATCAGATAGCACCAGTTGCGGTTGCTAACCTTAATGTTGTTTGCTTTAACGAGCTGGTTCTACCATTAAAGAACAACAGAAACAAACTTTTGTTCCCTACTTAAATATTGGATAATACAGGAAGGTCTGTTCTTGTTTTGAGACGTTTGTACTATTAGTTATTGACAGCTGCGCAATTAAAGGTACACACAATAATGTAATTACCTGTGTTTGTCTGTCTGTTAGCAAAATGTTTCACAAACAGCTGGACAGAGTTTAATTAAACTCTGAGAAAGTACCGTAGTCACTGGATGTACATCTACAATTAGAGGTTGATCGTTAAGAGTTTTTCCAAGTCTTTAAGAACTAGAGCAGCTGCTGGCTGATATACGATACATTAAGCTGCTGGTTGTAGCAGCTACTGCTGCATCTTTATCTTCCAACTTGGTAATCAGAAACGTATACACAGACATAAACCGATAGCCCATTTTTCAAGTGTCCAGTATTGACCTGTTATTGAGTCTAACTCTACCTGAAACTGATTAACTTTTGGAATGGCTGAGCTTGAATCAAGATGGCTACGACAGCCAATCAACTTTGCAAACACAAATATGGCAATGATCGTTAGTTTTATGAATACTTATACCAGGGGTTCCCAACCCTGGTCCTTGAGGAACACCATCCTGTTAGATCGTTTCTCTGCTCCCACACACCTGATTTTAATAAATGGGTAATTTACAGGCTTCTGCAGAACATGAGGAAGTAATTAATCACTGAATCAGGTGTGTTGGAGCAGGGAAACGACTAAAACATGCAGGATGGTGTTCCTCAAGGACCAGGGTTGGGAACACCTGATTTATACCATCACACGATCATGGAGTTCTGTGTGGCAGGTGATACTGTGCGACAACATTGTGATTTGTGACAGTAACTATAATAGAGTGATTTTATTGATAAATCTGTAAATGAAGGTGGTAAACTGAGCAGATGTTGCTGTTTAAATATATATA